TAGTTCATTACAAATTGATTTGGTGACACGATCGATAGCTCTAGAAACGCTTGAACGTGATATGCCATGCAGGTCACCACACTCAGTTTTCTCCCATTTGAAGGTATGTTTTCGTCTGCTAGTAGTATAAGCGACGCCATATTGTTTGTGTTATCGAGTACGCGAGGTTATCTACGACAGCATAGGACCACTCGTAGAGTTACGATCAAGTTTAATCGTAAACTCGCTAGTCGTAACTCTTAGTGAAACGCAATTACGTGCTACGTTCAAGTTTACGTCTACATTTACGAGCTACGACCTGTTAGTGAAATGGTTGCCTGGGTATTAAGTAACCAAAGTAAGCATGCTTAGTGTATAGATATAATGAGCAATGGTGCCCCTTTAAAATTGTGAATTTTCTGGCCTCTGGTTTAAAACAAATCAAATTCGATCAATTGTTGGAAAGTTGTTACATCATACTCAGGTGACATATTAGCTCAGATGGTCTCTTGTTTTTTATATGTTTAATTCTATTCCCCCCTCCCCAAAACTTGTAATTAAAATTACGAGGAATGGAGGAAGCGAATTTGATACCGGGTAAGTTTAAACAGATTTTTTTTATCTCGGAGTGAAAATTAATATAAAATGTGACAGGAAGAAGTTAATTTGGGTTAATATCGATACTTGTACTTAAAATGAGAAAGACTTGAAAAGTAATTTCTACGCATATGAAATGGATTGCACAAACTCGAAAGCTTGTTATTAAATTGATCTTAAAATATGAGTTTTATACATTTTATTTGAAACTGTCTTCAATTGAATCTAAATGACTTTTTACAGAAAATTTTGACGACGGCAATGCGATCATCAACAACATGCGGACAGCACATGAGAAGCGATCGTATAACACTTCTAAAAAGAATTGTATTTCATATTAATTACACAAATTTTTGTTTTTCATTATATGTTTAGCATCATTTAAATCGTGTTATATAATTATCGGTAGCAGTTCAAACCACCTCTGCACGTTGAAGTGGTCTTTTATACAATCTAGTTACTTGCCCAAGTGCATCTAAAAATGTAAATTTTCTTGATTTGTAATATTTTCATTCATTCTTTGTTTTTTCGTTCGGTCAAGTTGAATCAGCCGTTTATTTTACAACTTTCAGTGCGCAAGTAAGTGATGTCTGTTCATAAATGTGTTGTCTGAACGTTTACCAAGAGATAAAAGTTTGTACCCTATTTACAAGAAATAGATAAACGATAATAAATATTTACTCTTTTATAAAATATAAATTTCTTGAAGCATTGCAAATCTATCTTCATTTATGAATTGGGAGTATTAACTATGTACTGTGTATCCATCAATACATAAGAATATAAAAAATAGGGGGGTCCTTAATACGAACAAGAGGTTAAAGAAGTTCTCATACATTATAATAACTTCTTGATAAACATTTCAAAATTGGATTTTGCTTTCTTTTACCAATAATAAAGACTGAGAATCATGTCTAAAATTAATTCCAAAACAAAATTAATGAACCAAAAAACGTGTAATTATATACATATGCATGCAATAAAATAAGAAATCATTCCAAGAACCAAAATGATTGTTTCTTTCCTCCCAGAGTTTCTTTTAATATTTTTAATTTATGGGTTGAACGTATGTATACTTATTTGAAAAATTCGTATATGCTCCTTATCCCCTATACAACGTGCCTTCCTTAGCATCTCGTTAGAATTTATAATTGTTCGACCAAAATAACAGTATTTCTATACCTCGTTACAGACATGCAAGCGATTCCAGAGGAAACAAATGAGGCTATCGACGGCTCCTTTCTTGACATAAGTTTAACCCAGGCGGTGCATTCAACGCTTCTTCAGTTTAATTGTGACACATATGGCAAATCATTTACTTACAAAAATAATCTCATTCATCATTTGAAATCCAATTCATCTCCTAGATCGGTTAAATGTACCGATTGTTATCAGTTTTTTTGAAAATGAATAGTTTTACCAGCACAGACAGAAGACGCATATTATCAAGCATGTATGACTGTCCTACATGTATTTTATTTTACATGACACAGTTGTATCTCAAAGCATAACTTATATTTACACGTAAAATAAAATTGACATTAATAACATTTATAAATGTAATTGTAGCACAGTCTAAGTCAAAATATGATGACATCAGTACACTTAAATGAGGTGAAAAAGTTATAAAATAACAAGTGAATTAATTTCCATGCAAGTACACTTACCAATATAATGTGGTAGTGTCAGAAACACGGCATCATAGCGACCTGCTTGGAATATTTTGTTAGCCCGTTAGAGCACTTGACTGGCAATAGAGGGCCCATGCGTTCAATCCCAAACCGAAACTCATTAAGTGTATCTTACATTGGGCGCCCAACGTGCGATCCATACGCGTTTTCCCTGGTTGTGAGAGTGATTGCTATTAAAACTTCGCCCCCAGGTGTCGATACAGTCAGAAGCCCCAGGTTTAATTCCCAGTAGACGCATAAAAAATGTCTCTGTTACGTAATTTTCAGCTCTAGTGGTCAGAGACCAGAGGGTTACCAAATTTAGAAACCTTTAATAAAATTAGTGACTAAACATTTAATTATGAACCAAATCTGAAATACTCGTACTGGACTGGGGATCACAGTGAAAATGAAAAAGACTATCAAACTTGAGGGAATAAGCCTGGTCCATCTACAGAACTTTCAAAGTACCAGGAATCGATCCTTACACTGTCTTGTGCGATTTCGCCTTGCATTGCCATTGGTGGTTATGTCTGATTTATTTGGGTACCTTGTTCCAGAATCTCTTCGATATTCTCAACCTGGATATTTTATTGGTATTTCAAGTTTGAAGATTTCATTTTCTGGCCATCTCGAAAACTAGTGAAGAAATTTTATTTCATCATAAATTGTTGATTAGTACCAAAGAGCAGATTTCAAAGCATTAATTTATTTCAAAGTAACACCCCCCCCGTACCTCTAACGCAAGGGCCCTGAAATTATGCATTTTGAAAGAGGCACCTTTCTTCATTATTATAAATATGTAATTAGATCAATGCATATTAACCAGGAGCCAAGGAAAAGATTTTCCAAGAATCCATGCATTTGATGGATGACTTTGACTTCAAAATAAATATTCTGCAGACAATATCGGGTGATAAGTATAGAGTAACTAGCTTTTGATGAACCTTGTAAAACGACATTTTTAAGAGGAACTTAAAGTAACTAGATATTCAAAAATGTTCTTCATGAAATAACTACAAAGACTTGACAAGGTGTAGAATAGTGATCAATTTAAACATGATTAATACAAAATGCTTTACAGTTAGAGACTGGTATGTCTCCCACCATTCAGCATCAGTATATACTGTTTTAAGAGGACTATGGACAAGTTCTGAATTTAAAATTTCTAACAGTGGATAGGGCAGTTAAAGTGTTTTCTCTTTGTTAAATCAGAAATAATCACAGGGGATGGGGGTGTATCTGGTGTCAGTTTCATGCTTTATGGAGATATAATTAACATGTTCTTAAAATCAATAAAAACAAAGGGGGTGGTGTGTGGGGTTAAGAGTACAGTATTACATTTATTTGCCTTTGAAACCAGGTGATGAGAAGAGGAAATAGACAAGTGTGACACAATCTCTTGAGTTAGCTAATAGCTATACATAAAGAAAAATACCAAAAGAAGATGGGCGTATTTGACATGTAATCTGCAGGAATCATTTATACAAAACATTTATGGTTGAAATGTCCATGATTTGGTTGGCTGAACATAGCCTGTAAACTAGATTTTACAAACATGACCATGATAACCACAGAATTTTTTTCTTTTAGTTTGAAACACCTTGTCAGATTGTAATATTTATGGCCATTTTTCCTAGGAAGTACAATAACCATGATGACATAGTAATGTTTCACAAAAAAATAAACACTTATACGATTAAAGGCATAGATGAAAAGTGTACATGTACATCATAAAATATATAGATTTCTCTCTAGAACCAAACTGAACCAGAATTTTTCTAATTCAAAATTTTAATACATCAGTACGTAAATAAGCTGACAAAATTATTGATTGTTTGTATTAAAATCATGGAGAGAAGACCCATAGATAGAAAAAAAAATAGAGAAAAGTGTTTTAAAATGTACCATTTTGTTCAAAATGTCTAATATAGCCAATTTCAAGTTATTTTTCAGAAAATCAAAATTCATTTTTGTGAAAATATTTTCCTTCTATTGTACAGGAATCTGATGAATAAAAATATGTAAAAATTCCTTGTAGAAAAAAAAATTCACTTTTCAAGTCGCCCTGATTCCTGCCGAATGCCAATCAGAAGCGCCCTCGTTCTTTATTGAAGATTTATTACCCCTTACAGGACCCAAAACCTGACACCAAAGGTATAACTGACCAAGTCTTTTATTTCTAGTAAATGTTTAAAGTTTATAAGGTATATCGCTCTGTTAATATATGATATTATATTTTCCCTGGCACACCATACTATGTATACTAAGTAGACAGTGATTCCTTATATTCCCATTTCAATGTGACTTCTTAAAGCAGCAAAAGTTCAATTAAAAGATAACACACCTAGATTTAATGGATAAATATTAAAGATAAATGGAAAAATAAAAGGTTCTTCATTTAAATTGGAAATGAAACATTCTTCATGTACTTTTAGCACTGTTCAAGCTTCTTTTTGGTAATGTAACTTACATACGACATCATATAATGTCAGAGTCTAGACGCATCAAATGGCAGGTACGCCTTGACAAGCCCGATCTAAATCATGACAAAAAATACTGTCTTCAACATAACGGTTGCATGGTCAACATATTTTTAACCATATAATGTTAAGAAATAGCTAAATCAAAAGATTGTGCTGTGTCTAAAAGATATATAAATATAGAAATATTTATTTTCTTTTAAAATCCCAAGTGTCATCTATTTCCTAATCCTCCTCAACCTCTTCTTCTGAACTTAACTTGCACTTGTTTCAGTTTTTTCTATGTCATTTCGGATTGTGGAACAAATTCTTGCATACCACTTCTCAGAAAGGAATGCATCTGGATGTACACCATCATAAAAGTTAGTGTAGATAAACTTGGTGTGTTTTTTCTTGCTTTTACCATTTCTACCTCTTTTTTTTACTGAAATTTTGGAAACATCCTTATCAAGTCTTATGGAACTGACATGATTGTGTATCTGATTTAACTTAATAATTTCCAGGTTGATGTCCCTGATGTCTTGTTCCAGAGAATGTTGCTGGAACTGGGAGTTTTCGAAAGAAAATTGACTTGTTTGCAGGTTACCTTTCCTGAACTGAAAATCTTTAAAATTATGAACTGAAACAGGAGGGATGGTGGAAAATTGTACAGAAGTGCCAGATGATTGGAAGGTTTGAAATGAATTTTGAATTGTATTGATTAAGTGAGTAATATTTTCAGAAGAATGAGAATAGGAAATTTCACTCCCATGTTCATGATGATTTTTTTTGTCAGATTGCAGATACCAGCCATGAAAACAATGCGACATGGTGAGGAGTCGGGCGTGGATTTTTTAAATGACAGAACCTCGTCTTTTAATTTATCTAAAGATGCTCCAGGCCTGCACAGAACGGTGGTTTTCCAGTGGCGAGGAAAAGGATCATATTTTCGTATGTATGGATGAAGACCTCTGCCACGGGAGTCGCTGGCTATTATAATATTCATTATCTAAAGTATAAACAAACATTCATCCAAATTAAAATACTTCTATATATAATTACATAATTAGGAAACAAATATTCAGGGAGGATTAAATTTCGTTTACATCATTGTTAACAACTATCAATGAAATCAAACCCTACAAAAAATCTATATGACTATATTTGAATCTGGTTACTTTCAAAACAAGGAATTTAAAAAATCACAAAAATATTTTAGATGACAAATTTCATCCCCATGAAAATTTGTGCTCTTACAGTATGTAATACACTGCAAGTTTGAAATGCATTTTTCATTTGTAACCCTTAAGTTCAGATTTAACCTGATGTGGGGGGGGGGGCACAGTTAGAGACTGCTATGTCTCACACCGTTTTCTATTTAATTAAAACATTGGTACTGTTGTGAGATGTGTATTGTTTCATTATGTATATAATTAGTAACATTAAGTTTCTTGAACGTTCCAGAGTGGTCAACATGTTCGGTCATTTTATCTAGAACATTCTTAAATTTTGTATTTGTCCAGATTGTTCCAGTAATATCATGTTTTAACATTTTCTAGAATATTCTAGATTTATAATACTGTATAAATACCCTGTCAATTCAATGCATATACAATAATTGTGGATACTTTGTCGTATAAGCACTATTGAGATATAACTGGGATATATTTTCACTGGGACATTGTGTGAAGCAACGGACACTCTGATGTATGTATTCTTAGATTCTTGCTAAGTTTGTACTTTATGTTTCATATACTTATTATATATTACTGTAAATAAATTATTGTTAAGTTTAAATTGTGTTATTGATCTTTGCTGGCATTTAGGGTTATTCTGACCCATAACAGAATTGGGGGCTCGTCCGGGATAAAGAATTATTTGCACTTTTGCTGTTTATTATCAGAATTTTTATAATTGAACCTTTAAATTTGATTATAAGCCAGCAGAAATCAACATCGTGTTTTCGGTCACAGACTTTCTTAGTTCACCAAGTGTTCAGGTTTTTGATACGTTAAAAAAGGATGACTTGATCGCATTAGGTTTGCATTTTGGGTTAGATGTTAAATCCTCTCAGAGAAAGCAAGACATTAGAATTAAGGTTGCAAACAAACTAGTAGAAGAAAACATCTTTGAAAAATACGATCTTCCAGAATACACAGTTAAATCAGAGTTAGGCTCTTACAAAATGGCAGAATATCAGTTTCAATTAGAGTTAGAGAAAATGCGATTAGAAAGAGAAAAATTAGAAAGAGAAGATCGAGAAAAAGAAAGAGAAGAACGAGAGCGTGAACGAAAATTTGAATTAGACAAATTAGAAAGAGAAGAACGAGAGCGTGAACGAAAATTTGAATTAGACAAATTAGAAAGACAAGAGCACTTTGAGTTAGAGAAATTAAGATTACAGCACCAACCAGAACCGTCATTTGTCAAGAATGAATTTGACGCAGCAAAAAATATTAGGTTAGTTCCGAAATTTCAAGAAAAATCTGTAGACAAATATTTTCCCCAATTCGAAAAAGTCGCAGAGAATCTTAAATGGCCACAACACGTTTGGTCAACAATGTTACAAAGTGTACTGGTTGGCAAAGCAGCTGAGGTATACTCTGCCCTAGGGGTAGCTGAAAGTTCAGACTATGAGAAGGTCAAAGCAGCAATATTAAAAGCATATGAATTAGTACCTGAAGCATATAGACAAAAATTCAGAAAGTATAGGAAGTTTGATAATCAAACATTTGTTGAATTTTCACGAGAGAAAGAAGATTTATTCGATCATTGGTTTAGATCTAAGAATCTTGATAAAACTTTTGCCAATTTGCGCCAAGTCATCCTGGTAGAAGAGTTTAAGGAATGTGTTCCTCAAGATTTGAAAACACATTTAGAAGATAAGAATGTGAAAACTCTTGAAGAGGCAGCAGTCATATCTGATAGTTATGCTCTGTCTCATAAAAAGAATTTTGTTTCAAGATCTCAAACTAGCAGTAATTCTACCAATTCAGACACATATAAAAAGAGTGGTTCAGGGTCTCAGTCTTCCACAAGTCTCCAGTCTCTATCTCAAGGTGGTTCTAAGTCCGGTCCAGGACGTTTTGAAGGATCATCTGGAATTGGGTCGCTTCCTACTTGTAGTTATTGTAAGAAAAAGGGTCATCTGATCAGTGAATGCTTTAAACTTAAGAGAAAAAATGATTTTGATAAAACCCAACCACACGCTTGTGCGGCAGTTAGAGGTGATAGAGAAGTCTTAGTTTCGATTTGTTCTGACACTCCTGATGTCCAGGGTTCACAGTCCAGTTCTATTGATTCTATGGAGGATTATAAGCCCTTTATGTCTCAGGGATTTGTTTCACTCGATGACTCTAGCGAAATAAAACCTGTCCAGATTTTGAGAGATACTGGTGCTGCACAGACGTTATTGTTAGAGGGCGTGCTTCCTTTGTCTGAGCAGACTTCTACTGGTGGGTCAGTTTTATTACAGGGTGTGGAGCTAGGCGTCATTGATGTTCCCCTGCATAGAATTAGTTTGAAGTCAGATTTAGTTACTGGACCTGTTATCGTAGGTGTTCGACCTACTCTTCCCGTTCCAGGCATTTCTTTGTTGTTAGGCAACGATTTAGCTGGTGGGAAGGTTGTACCTGATCCTATAGTTTGTGAGAAAATCACTTCCAATGTCATGTGCGATGATGAAGATGATGACATTTATCCAGCCTGTGCTGTTACTAGAGCGATGGCCAGACGACGAGAAATGGAGGCAGACCATACTCAAGCCTTTGACGAGACGAATTCCTCTGTTGATATTGATTTGAATGACACTTTCTTATCTGACCTTGATGGCACTCAAACAAGCATGGAACGACACAATACCAAGAAGCAAGAGAAGAAAGAACTTTTACCAAAATTTGGTGGTGAGGATGATGAGTTGCATCCACTAGTTAGCCAAGGCAAGGACATCCTCAGCCGAGAACGTTTACTCTCTGAACAACATAAAGACCCAGATATCATTCAACTTAGTAAGAGGGCACTTCCACCAGAAGAGGCTACTAAAGTTGGAGAATGCTTCTATATGAAAGATGGCATCCTTATGCGAAAATGGCGACCACCTGACGCTTCTCCAGATGAAGTGTGGCGTGTTGTTCACCAGATAGTGGTCCCAGCTGCTTATCGTCGAGATGTCATGAGTTTAGCTCACGATACACCTATGGCAGGTCATTTAGGTGTCAATAAGACTTATAATATGATTTTGAGTCATTTTTATTGGCCTAAGCTAAGAAAGGATGTTTCGAAGTTTTGCAAGTCATGCCATGTCTGTCAGATGGTAGGTAAACCAAATCAGAAGATACCATCTGCTCCTCTCCAACCCATTCCAGCTTTTGAAGAACCGTTTAGTCGAGTGTTGGTGGATTGTGTAGGACCTTTGCCTAGGACCAGATCTGGGATCCAGTATTTACTTACCATTATGTGTACATCCACTCGATTTCCTGAAGCCATACCTCTTAGGAATATAAAGGCAAAGAGTATAGTTAAGGCCCTAACCAAGTTTTTCAGTTTTGTAGGAGCACCCAAGGCAATTCAGTCGGATCAAGGCTCAAATTTTATGTCGGGGTTGTTCCAGCAAGTCATGCATGAGTTGGGTATAAGGCAATATAGATCAACTGCTTATCATCCTGAGTCCCAGGGAGTAGGGCTGTCACGGGTACCCGAAATGACCCGGAACCGCGGAACAATTAATTCGGGTCGGGTACGGTTCCCTTTTTCTGGAATTCGGTTCGGTTCCGATTTGTATGATGAGTAGATTTTACTATAAAATGGCGTCAAAAACGAGAGTTTTGTTAGTAAATTGTCATTTAAAGGCAGGGTTTCAGATTGGCGTCGGCCATTTGCCAATAAAAGTTTACCTGCCATGTTGGCCTATAAGTTTGACACTGAACAGACACAATGGCCGATTATCTTCTGTATGTAAAGGCCAGTTGTATAATTTTTCCTCCATTCAGATCCGATTGTTTTTCTCTACTTTCTGCAACTGCCGATTCAATCAGCCAATGACATTTTGGTATAAATAGATCTTGACAAAATACTCAATAATTTTATTTCCAAACCCAACTGCAAGGAGCATAAAAGTAGTGATGAATGTTTAAAACATCGAAGGAATCCATGCCATGTTGTTATTTTTACCGCCATGATTGAATATCGGTACTACGAATCACCGGAATGCCCCGTAATCACCGAAATGCCCCAAGAAATCACCGAAATGCCACCGAAATGCCCCTTATTTTGTTATATATAAACAAAAAAATAATAAATATTGATGACTTTAACTGTTCTAGAGCCTAGATATCGAATAAAAATGTCATAATTTTAACGTAAGTATTTTTATTTGAACAGAAGATTGTGCATGTTATAGTATCTAAGAAAGAACTCTCACTGATTAAAGGCACGTGCCAAAATAGTCTTATTTTTAATTTTTCCTTTCTGTTTTAAATATATTCTAAATAATAAGTCATATTTTTCATATCAATTAAAATTTTGTTTGTAATATTATTTACATATAATCTTGATTTCTAAAAACGGAGTACACTAGTGTAATTTTACTGGAAAGTCCCATCTTTATATTAAGTTTTAAAGCAAATAGAAAGATCTTTCTTACGTTTAGTTTAAAAAAATATTTACCATGTATGAATTTAATAAAATTTCATTGTTATCTGATATGAAAATGGGACTATTAATGCAACATTTTTTAAAAATCTTATTATTAAAAGTTTGATTGGATCTCTCACTTCTCATCAGTACAGTAACAGCTGCGTAAAATAGAATCTATGTTTGAATACTGTGATTGTCTTTTTGGAATTCTATTCAATTTGTATGAATGAATCCTAAAGAATATTTGATCCTCTGGTAATTAGCAAAGAAAAGAACTGCAATGTTTAAAGAAAATAACAAAATTTATCAAAATTATA